GTGTCCTTTTTGCCAGTGAAAGAATGGAATTAATCTTTTCTTCATGCTTCAGCTGTGGATGGTGGCCATCTTGGTGTTACCTGCATATATTCAAGTCACACACTGGTTTTAAGGGTTCCACACAAGCTTGCACTGGCTCAGGCTCCACTCACACATCCTAGCTGGATGGTGTTCTGAGATGAATGATCTTAGGGATCAAAAGAATCATTTTGGCATGTATAGACTAAACAAAGCCTCTCCTTTCTAGGTGGTGTTAGGAACTGAAAAATGAACTTCTTCTGGGATATCTAGAACTTCCACAAAGTACCTCTTCAGCTGTGGAAGTAGTTTTCCCTTTGTTTATGAACACAAACATTTTCTGATGCTGCTGCTGTACCAGTGTCAATAAAATAGATATCTGCAACTTCAGATGCTCTAAATGTTAATGTTTAAATGAGAGTTTTATTTTGTCACTAAGTTACTTATAGTCAAAAGTGTGGGTTTGTGTCTTACTACTTCTCTTTCTGTTCTGAGTCTATTTCACTTTGACCAATTTTATCCTGAATTTAAAACCTAGAGTTTTGACAGGCTTTTTGCTTTTTCGAAGGAAGAGTTCTGTTCCAGCTCCTGTAGCCTGGAAGCAGCACATTCTCAGGAGAGCACCTTGTTCTCAGCAGCTCATGACACAGTGCTGTGCTTCAGGATGCAACCCAAAGTCCTGCCGTGCTCCCAGCCCACCGTGTCAAATGACTGGTTACTCAGTGCAACACTCTACTTCATGAACCTGCAGAAAAGCACTCATAACTTGTTTAGGAGTAGCTGTGCAAAATCAACAGAAAATTACTAACTGCTAGGCAAGTCTGGCAACCCTTACCAGACTCTCATTATTAATTCCAGAGTACCCAGGCATCAACAGGGCATTGTCATGTAATCCTCCCAGCCCTCTTGCCTGCTTTTGGGACAAAGTTTGCTGCTTCCTCTCACCCAGTGTAGTGGTTTTGGTTTGCTAATTTGAGATTTCCTGGCCAACACACCAATGAGTGTGGTGGGTTCTGTGCTGGCAAATCACTGAAACTTTCACAAAGCAAGGAAAATTAAAGAGAAATAAATGAAACATAAAAATGTGGAATTAAACAAATCCACACCAGAAGGAGGATCTTAAAAGGATGGGAGTAAGCTGGGGAGGGAATTTGTGATGGCTTGGAATAGGAAAACAGATCTCTCAGACATTTGTGGTGCTGAAGAACCACTCAGAAATTGAGAGCTTCAGGTGGAAAGAAGTGAATACCCTCCTTGATGCACAGGATTAGTGTGTCAATGCACAATACTCCCTGGTACCCCTCTCACACTCATGGGTGTGGTTGAGAATAAAGCAGGAGGCCCCATGCCCTGAGCTCAGGGATGGGTGCACACCCTCAGGCAGGACCTGCCCTGAGCACAGCTGGGCACTGCTGATGGCACTGAGGGCTGGCCCTGAACCCCCAGCAAACTCACAGCTCCCTCTGCCCTCTCCTGTGCTCTAAGGCCACACCAAACTGCCCCTCAGCCTCCACAAGAGCCATGGCTGAAGGAGGGGACAAGGCTGAAAGGAGCTTTGGAGGAGGCCCATGGCAGGAGGATCAGCCCCTCACGTGTCTCCTTTCGTGCTCAATGTCAAAAGCCCAAAATAGCCCCACTCTCCTAAGACTCCTGTGCGGGGTCGTGCCTGTTTGTGGGGATGATCTGCTTCCACTAATAGCGCCTGAAGACATTCCTGGGCGGGTAGGCTGCCTTCTGTGTGGCAGGGCAACGTGCTGCCCTGGAGGAGCTGGACACGTGTGCTCTAGCCCAAGGCAGCAGCTGCTATTCTTACCCCAGAGAGACTCACTGCAGCCCAGCTCCACTGCCAGCTGAAAGGTTAAACGTCAGAATGGGGCCCGAGTGTGCTCTCCCTGCTCAGAGCCTGAATCCAGAGTGTTCCCCTTTGGAGCCCATGCGACGACCCTGTGCCAGCCCAGTGCCATGGCCATTCCCTGCTGGGATGTGCTGTCCCGTGGGCAACACAGCAGCTGCCCAGGTGCTTCCAGCAGTCAGTCAGGGCTCCTTGGGGTGTGTGGGGCTTTTTCCCTCTCTTGTAAACCAACAAAAATGCAATGTCTGTGGACCCAGAAGACCATCTTTTTGCTTTGAAGATCAGCAAGAGGCCCCAGTTCATTAATCTCTTCCCTGGTGAGGAAAGCAGAGGCTCCAGGAACAGCAGCCTTGCAGAAAATCTTGTCCAGGAGCAGCCTGTTGAACATATTCAGATCGAATAGAGCTGGATCCTAATGCATGAAGTTTGACCAGCTGAACTTCATATATTGTGACTCTTGTTGCAGAAAAAAGTTGCTAAGAGAGAGTGTGGAAGAGTAACCACAGAACTGAGGTGGGGTTGAAACAGTGCTGGGGATTTCAGAAAGGGTCTGGCAGGAGGAAAGCAAGATGGATATGTGCAAGGAAAAGAAATAAGTAATAAGAAGTAGAGGATGTGGGAGTGGAAGAAATGACAACTCAGAACAGGTTTGGGGACAAAAGGTCGGGGAAATGTGAGGGGAACTGCTGGGAAACACTACAATGATAGTCTGCAAATGACTAACTCATACCCCACCTTTAAAATACTTTTTAAAGCCTAATTTTAGTTTTGAAGAAATAATTTTCTTTATTTATTCTGTTGTTTCATTACTGCTGAGGAGGTACAAGGCTCGTCACTCATGCCCAGGCAGTGCTGAGCAGAACTCTCTGCACTGCAGAGAACCAGTCCTCAGGCAGCATTTCCCAAACCTGGGAACACAAGCTGTACTGGGAGGGCAGAGTGAAAATCCAGACCTTCCTAGAGGCGTGAAGAATTCAGGGGCTACTTGCAGGTGGAGCCTGGAAGCCCTCAACATGACCAGATCTCCCCTCAGCTTCCCAGGCAGGGCAGGTAGCTCAGGTTGGGGTCCAGCAGCCTCAGGAGCTGCTTTTCTCTATGGCAAAGGGTGGTGGTGCAGAGTGGTCCAAGTTTTGAGCTGCTGCTGTGGCCCACCTCACAGAGACCTGGCTTGTCACTCTTTTGGAGCTCACCCTGTGGCACATGTTTTATGTAGGATCATCCAAGAAAAAAAAAAAAACAACAAAACAAACCTGGAGCTGCTCTGCTTTGCAAACTGATTTGTGCTTCAGGAGCAGCAAATTGTGTTCTTACCTTGACACATGAGATGAAAGCAGAAAGCAAATAAAGCAATGATTAGCCTGACTCACAAGGGAATCTGTCTTCCAATATAAAACAATGAAACCTTTAATAAATTTCCTAAGGATGCAAAAGGAAATTTTCTGCAAGAACAAGTTCAGAAGTGTCACTAGAAAATTCTGCTGTGTATCCTGTTGGTAACCTCTCTACAGTGAGTGTCACTCAGAAAATTCTGTGATAATCCACTGGGTTCTCTTAGCCTTGAATGTCTAATTTTTAAAGTGAGCAGATTTATAGAAATTGCATATCAGTTTATTTCCATTTACAGCACTGAAATCTGCCCAGAAGTAGGATTTGTGCATCTGTCCCAGTGAGTGCCAACCAAGGAAGACACCACCTCATTGCTGTCTTTTTTAGGCTACAGTTGCTGCTTGTGCTAATATTATGCACCTAATCCTAGTTCTCCTTCCCTCCCCCTTTTGCCACTTGCCTTCTTTTGACTTTGTCTTACCCGGAGGCGTCTTAGCCTGCCCACCCCACTCCCCTGCTCTGTAACAGGAGCTCCTCAGCTGCTGTGGTGGGTGACAGAAAGGACATCCTGAATGTCACCTCCTAGGCCAGCTCTTCCGCCGGTGTTTGCTGGGAACACGAGGAGTCTGATAAACAGCACAGCCCTGATACTGAAGGGAGAGTTCTCACCCACAAAGGAAAGTTTGCTGCTTTACCTGTCTCCCCACTGCTCTGTGAGCTGGGCTGTGCCACTCTTGAGTCTCACCCATTGTCATTGAGAGGAACACAACTTGAGAAGCATGCCCAAGCTCAGCTGCTTGTCACCAAGTCTGTTCCCTGTGTGACACGGCATTAAGAGAGCTGATAACACATCAAACGTGTATGTAAACAATGAGCAGATGCATGTAGGTTGTATCTTATGGAATAATCTACCACGGTTCATCAGGGTCTGGGCACCAGTCACCCAGCAAGCTGATTTGGTTGAAGTAGGGCAGAGAAATCACCAGCAGTGACCCACCACATGCAGGACTGCCTTCCTTCCACCTTGGCGTTATTGTGTGTTCAGAGGAGCAGCACATCCATGTGGAAGAGGTTTAACAGTGACTTCTGTGAGCCAGAGAGATGTTTGAGAAGAGGATCCATGTTTACGCCTTAAAGAATTTTCTACCAAGGTCACTGACATAGAAACCAAGAAAGAATGATAAATAAGAGAAACCTACAACTGTCTATTGCAATGGGCACTTTGTTTGTCTTTCTTGACCAATGAGTAAAGTGTAAACTTATGAGTTTTGTAAGAGTGTATAAAAAGCATGCATAATAAAACCAGTTTGAAGCATTCTGAAAATGGAGTGTTACTTTGGATTGTGACCATTTCAACTACGGCACATCCATACAGATCCTGCTCGTTCCTGGTGCCCCCCCCCCCCCTCCCCCCATGGCCCTGAGCACATCTCAATTCCTTGTCGGGCATCAGAGACCCCGACCACCTGAGGAGGAGCTGCAGTGACCTGTCCCCACACACAAGGAGACACCTCTGTCTGTGTAAGGCACTTGAGTCTGCTCTCCAGGCTGGAGGTTTCCTGCTGAAGCAGAAGCTGAGCAGCCCTGAACTCCCTCCACCCTCCCAGGCTCACTAACAGGGTGTGCAAGGGGATCTCTTGAAGAGGATATCTGCTCTATCCCATGACCATTACAGGCTCCACGTGGGGATACAAATAGGTCACTGAGACCTGAGAAGGCCAAAGGCTTCTTAGGCTTCATATAGAGATAGCAGGAATGTGCTTGTGCTTGTCTCCTATTACTGACAGGGACACAGGACACATTGTCATTTTCAGTACAGTTTCCCAAGTGTAAGTTGTTTTTTCTCCACTGACATGACGTTTTTCACCACCTTGAGGTGGTTTGTTCTCTAGAAGGCTTCACCACCTGAGTGGAATGTCATGCAGAGGCTGGGTGTCTGGGGAGAGTGGGATGATGACAAATGTCTTGGGTGTGAGGGTCCGCCTGTTCCTTTGGACTCACCCAGTACAGCCATTCAGAGAGCCACACAAATCACTGAAGGGTTTGGGTTGAAGAGACCTTTAAATCTCACCTAATCCAATCTCTCTCACATGGGTAAGGACATCATGCAACCTTATTTCCTTCAATGTTATTATATTGTCAGAAATAACTCACAGAGGTGATGCTAGTGCTGTATCATACACATATTTCTGAAAAATCAATGTCTGGCAACTCATAATGAAAAAAAAGTTTGAACCACACCCCCAAATTCCTGTTATGGACATGGAGAAATGCTTACCAGCATGCAGTTACCACTGAGAATATGTCCAGCCTGTGGTAATGAGAAGAATCTCCTGTACTCTGCCTGCCCTGCTGCTCCTTACCTGGTGGAGCTCCTTCCTGATGTGATGTGATGCATTTTGCTGCCCCAATGGGTTCCACAGATCTGTGACTCTGCCTGCAGGTCACTCTGCTCTTCAAGGACTGAAAGCAACCAAAACCTGCTGCTTCTACTGAGGACATTTCAGCTGACGTTCATGAGAAGCAGTTTTATGGATTTGGTGTTTGGGAGGGATATGCTTTGGCAAGTGGCATGGAATTAACTGTGTGTTAATTGAATGAAGTGAAATGAAAGATCTCACTGATAGCCATGGCTTCAGCTGCATGGGAGTGGCCACCTGGATATGCCCACAGTCAGAGGGAACACCTGGAGACTTCCCCAGCCAGAGGGACCTTGGAGGGCTGCCTGTCTTAGGGAATCACAGGGCATGTAGCCTGAGTAGCTTCCGGGGGTAAAGACTACAAAAAAACATTCCTTTTCCTGCTGCAAAATACAGACCTTTCTTGTGTTTCCAGTTCCTGAGCTTGATGAGAATGAACAGGCAGGAGGGGGAGGTTCCCAGTGGCCAGCACACAGCCCCTGCAGGAACTTCCCCTTGCCCTCCCCAGCCTGGCTAAAAAGTGCCTTCTCACTCCTTATCTCTCAGTTAACTGCTGGGACAGGGGGAACAAAATCCACATCTTAGGCCCGGGCAGAAGGGGAGCAGCTGTCTGGTCACTGTCTCAAGAAGGATCTATTTTCAGCACGACTGAATCCTTTCTCCTCCATGAGGAATGTGCACCTTGACGACACTGCATTGCTGTGCAGCATAGTCTGTATCCAGAGATGGTTTCCAGCCTGCCTCCTGCCATTTATCTCTGCTGTGATTTGCTTCTGTGAAGTTCAGCGAAGTTCACCCTGAAGAGATGGAAATAGAATGGACAGAATATTAATGGTTCCCAGGAAACATTGCATTCTTTTTTTTTTTTTTTTATTTTCTCCTTTGCTTTGAGGAATCTTTTGAAAGATTCCTTACTGGACAGATTTCTTCTTGCTGTACCTGGATAGAGGACATATGGCAAATGTTTTGAGATCTAGAGAGTGAAACTACAGTGAAATCTGAATAATCCATTTCAGATTAGAGACTACTTCTTTGTAAGAAACCACTATACCAGTGTCATATAATGGTACCTTAGTGAAAAAGAAGAGCTGTATAAATTAAACTAAATCCAAAGCAGATGCTCAGTAGCTTAGACTGCTTTTCAGAGATGCTTATGACAGCTGACCAAATACTCACTTTCCATGAGCTTTATGTCATATACTACACCATGGAATGCTGGGTTATTTGCCCAACCTTTTTTTCTTGCACTTGCTCCTGTCTCCTCTTCCAGCTTCCACCAATGTAGTGTCCTTCCCCTGTAGACATTGACTGAGAGTTCATATATGACCTGTATTCACAATACATGCTCTTACAGCTACCATTACTAGGGCTAAAGCTCTAATTCCCTTCAAAAAGATATTTTAAAACAACTCCAAACACTGAAAGAGAAGTTCTTGTTTTCTGTGTTCTTATTTTGTTAATGCAAAAAAGGAAAAAATGAAATTAGTATGAATTTAGAACTTTCAAGTGAAAGTAGTTGATGTTTTAACATTTTATTTTCTTTTTATAACTTAATCAGCAATACAGATAAACATGGCAGTAAGATTTGAGTCTCTGTGATTCTACAATTGCCATTTAACGTTAAGTGTTTTCTGTGTTAAGGACAGTGTGCAGCTGAGCACTGGTGAGGCAAAACCCTGAGGTGAATCTGGGATCCAATGACACAAAGCAAGGGCAGAGCCCTGAACCTGGAGAGGAACAAGCCCAGGCACCAGTAAATACCAGTAAATTCTGGGTGCTGACCAGGTGAAGAGCAGCTTTGCAAAACAAAGAACCTGGGGGTTCTGGGGGGCAGCAAGTTGAACATGAGCCAACAGTGTGTCCTTTCTGTGAAGAAGGTGAATGGTATCTGCATTAGGAGTGTTGCAGCAGGTAGAGGGAGGTGATCCTTGCCTTTAATTCAGCACTGAGGCCACACATCTAGTGCTGAGCTCACCAGTATGAGAGAGATACAGAGCTACTGGAGAGGGTCCAGAAAAAGGCCAGTAGAATGAATAAGAGACTGGAGCATCTCTCTCATAAGAGAGGGATGAAAGAGCAGAGACTGTTCAGCCTGAAGAGAATGATCAGGTGAATCATATCCATGGGTATAATACCTGGAGGTGCACAGAGGATGAAACCAGGCCCTTTTTATTGTTGCCCAGGGAGAAGACAAGAGGCAATGGGCACAATCTGACACAGATTTTCCCCTGTGAAAATCTGGGAATACTTTTTTTCCTGTAAGGGTGACTGAGCACTGGCACAAGTTTCCCAGAGCTATTGTGAAATTGCTTGGGACATTCAAAAGCCATCTGGATGATAGAATCTCTTTCATTGCTGTGTTCTACTTCACAACCCTGTTCTGAGATTTGGACCATTTTCAAAAAGGTTTTATGTTCTGCCATTGGACTATGGGGACCTACTGACACTAAATTCAATCCCCAAATCACTGGTGAGTGTCAATACCTGGAGACACCTCAACTCATTGACTGCTTCCCATTCAAACCAAACCTTCCCTTGGCTGCCTGCCCAGAGCTACCTGGCTGTGTGCCTCACTCCTGCTTCTTGCACAGCTGGGTCCACATCCTGCACAAAACAACAGCAAAAACCCAGAAGAGCTCTCTGAGGAGAAGGGGTTTGTTGTTGGCCACTGGAAAGGCAACGTCCCCAAAGTCAGGTGATCTAGCCCAGTACTCTCAGCCATAGAATCATAGAATCATGGCTCGAGGTGTGGTGGGGCGTGGGGAAGTGCTCTGCCTCACCAGAGGCATATTTTTCCCATATTTTTCCCATTTTTATTTTTCTCATATTTTTTCTCCTCAGAGTCATCTGCTGACATATCCTCATGCATCCCAAAATATCTTAGGACATCGATCTTTCCAGTCTCTCACACCTGGTTACAGGAAAGTCCTGGTTAGCCAGGACTGATGATAAATGATGGAAAGTGGCTGCGCAAATTCTTCTCACAGTTCCTCAGTGGCCTCACGTGAATCCTGTCTGGCCTCACAGGCTTGTGAGTGTCTAAAATCAGCAGATTGCTGATTAATTCCTCCTGGACTGCAGTGACTCCATTCTGCTCCTCTATCTGACTAACAGCTTAAGGGGCTGGTTGCCCTGAGGATAACCACTCCTTCTGTTGATGACTGAGGCAAAGAAGATGTTTAAGTACCTCAGCCTAAACCTGACAGGGTATAAATCAGCTCACATGGCTGTGCTCTAAACAAGAGCCTACAACAACTGGTCCTAAAACAAGACCAGTCTCTCCCCAGCACCACCAGTAAATCCCCTTCCCCTCTCTTCATCAGCATTGTCCGGGCATGTCTGCCACCCCCGGTGCTCTGGTATACCCATGGTGTTTTGGATGAAGTGTGCAAGGTATTTGTAATGAAATGGAAATGCTAGACTGAGGATGTATCAGGTAGAGAGCATCTGGGACTACATGCTGACATGATGTGTTTGTGCATCCATCCAATTATTTGAATAGGTATTACTGAAAAGAGGATTTTTCTACCATTTGGAAGTAGGTGTGCTGGTTTCACTTGGAAGGCTTTCAAATCAGATATTCTTCCTAGGGTTACAGGCATTGGTTAAAGATAAGTTGCCAGCAAAAGCAGGGAGCATCTTCCTCACTGGCACTAACCTGCAGATCAGGAGTTTCAGCGGGTATAACTCATCCCAGGTTTCATAAGAAGAGTTTTTAGAGACTCTCCCACTTATTTGCAATTTGAAGTGTCTGCAAAGAGGCACACAGGCACATGCCTCTCTGTGTGTGTCTGTGTGTGCCCACTCTTCCTGATACCCCCAAACCTGCCTCACATCTGTCAGAGCCATCAACTTAAAAAGTCCAGGTAGAACCTGGACCAGCCTCCCCCTGCTGCAGCATTTGACTGACCACCCTGCTGTGCCTGTCACCCTCCTCACCTCTTCTACATCTGTGCTTCTGCTTTCAGGGTTAAACCAACAAAACTGCCAAAAGGTTTTAATAATGCTAATTTGTCTTTTAACACCCTGTTTTATCTATTGTACTACTGGGATAGCTGCAGCACAGACATACCAAGCAATCCATCCCAGATCGTGCAGTGAGTCGGTGGGAAAGCCAGCAATAAAATCCATAAGTCCTGAATCCAAGTTCTTAAAGTGCTTTGACTAGTCCAGATTCCCTCCTTAACACCCTTGGAAGATTGTTTATAGAAGATGTATTCATATAACCACTAAGACATCAAAATTTTCTAATTATATCTAGTCATGTCAAATGACAATTATGCCCTTAGTTCAGTTTGCCAGACAATGCTTTACCAAAGAGGGTTTGCCAAAATATTTTTGACCGAAGAAAGAGTAGGCATCTGTAGCATCTGCAGGCGAGATCGTATAAAATGTCCCTGCAACACGTCTGCCCTGGCTCCACAGAAAGCTCCAAGGTAAGAGATGGGGGCTGCAGGCTGCCAGGAAGGGGATGGCAGCCTAATGTGCCACCACATTGCTGCTGCCTCCGGTGCTCCTGTGCAGGAGGGGACTCCATTACAAATCTGTTTTCAAAGCACCTGCCTGTTTTCACTCTTAATTTTTGTGCAACAGCAATTTGGGAACTGCCATTTGTGTTTTACAGCACTGACCAGCTGCCAGCCGGGAAGCCACACATCTGGTGTCACAGGAGGTAAGGAGCTGATTTACTGATTCTCAGGGACAGAGACAGATCCTTTTGGGTGGGGTGTCAGGAAGGTTCACTGCCTCACCACCCTATAAGCAAACTTGGTGGGATTGCAGTAGAAAGTGGTGAGGGTGCCCAAGGCTGTGTTTGAAGCCTCTGAGTACTGATGACAGAACAGAAAATCCCCATGGGGACATTCTTCACTGCTGCTTAACTGATCTTACATAAATCAAGGAGTGCTGCCTTCCCCTCTTTGCTATGGCAGGAGGAGAATGGGACCAGATAAGCACAGCAGGGAAAAATGCAAAATCCTGTATTCTGCTTAAGAATATATTAATTATTAAATCATCTGAACATACAGACCTTCTAATCACCATTGTAGAGTGCCAGAATTCTCAGCTTTCTTAGATACCCATTTTCTTACTCCAGACAAAAAATATATTTATTACCTGAATAAAGAGGGAATAAATTTTACTAAAGTAGCTAGAGAATTTTCAGGTGCAGTTGGCTAAATTTAGGTACCCTAGATGTTTAATAAATCACTTGAAGAAATACTTAAAAAAAAACTTCTGAGAATTCGTGTGTTTCTAGATTTTTTCAGTAAGTATTTATTTGAGATCTTACTAAAGTCTTGGAAATTCCAATTTCAATGATTGAATTTTATTTTACCTAAGTCAGAACTTTGGGGCTGAAATTATTTAAGTATTGTAGTGAAATGTGACAAATGCATAGAGCAAATTAATTGTGGCACAACATTAAGAGGTCACAAAGCCTGAATTTTTTTTTTCCACTAGAGAACTTCATTAGCAAAATTTGTTAACTACCCCTACCTTTCCATTATCATCAAATAGGTAAATATCCCACAGATTCATTGTTTTCCAAGTCTGTAGTTCACCTACACTACAGTTTTTCAGTAATTTTATTTCACAGTTCATCCTTTTAACAATTTCTTCTATTTCCATTCCTAGTAGTGTTATCTTACTGAAACTTGTTCAACAAATTCACTCTTGTCTTACAGGCACAGCATCCTTAAAGCACCAAATCCACAGTTCTGAAAGGGTCATCAATGAACGTTTGAAGACCTAAACTGCATCCATGAAAGCCTCTTATTTTGACATAAAATTAGATTTCTAATTATCTCATGTTATAATACCCTGAGTATGAAGAGACACCAAGGCACAGGATAAAAATTTCCCAGATCTTACAGAATAAATAATCAGTACCATATTTTTTCTCCTCAGAGTCATCTGCTGACATATCCTCAGTAAAGTGCAGACATGGCCTCTGGAGATGCTGAGATGGCTGTTTTTGGGGAAGCAGCTCCTTACCTCCGAAAATCAGAGAAGGAGAGAATTGCAGCTCAGAACAAACCTTTTGATGCCAAGTCATCAGTCTTCGTGGTTCATCCCAAAGAATCCTTTGTGAAAGGGACAATCACGAGCAGGGAATCAGGCAAAGTCACTGTCAAGACTGAAGGGGGAGAGGTGAGTCAAAAACAAGGCTGAAGAAAAACATTTTCTTCCCTCACTGGGTTCTTAGCTGACATATGAGGATCCTTTTTTCCTTGGCAGACCCTGACTGTGAAGGATGACCAAATCTTCTCCATGAACCCTCCCAAGTATGACAAAATCGAGGACATGGCCATGATGACCCACCTCCACGAACCCGCCGTGCTGTACAACCTCAAAGAGCGTTACGCAGCCTGGATGATCTACGTAAGTGGCAGCAGCAGCTTCCTCTGGGCAGCCTCAGGAGCTGCTGGGCCAGGCTCAGGGCAAGCCTGAGTGCTGTGTCCCTTCCTCACAGACCTACTCGGGTCTCTTCTGCGTCACTGTCAACCCCTACAAGTGGCTGCCGGTGTACAACCCCGAGGTGGTGTTGGCCTACCGAGGCAAGAAGCGCCAGGAGGCCCCTCCACACATCTTCTCCATCTCTGACAACGCCTATCAGTTCATGCTGACTGGTGAGTGTTTGACCTCCCTCACAGTAATCTAATCAAAAAAGCCCTGCTGATCTCACAGGAGCATGTGACAAGCCAGTTGGAGCCACCAAGAAGCATGACTGTGAACTTGGTCGGATTTATGTACCAAACAATTTCATGTCAAACTGACCTGGGAGCATTCATGAACTTATCATGGTGAATTATTTGTACTTTATTGTACAAAATTCTACACTCTCCTACTGCAGAAATAGTACTTGATTCAGTTTTCTATATTTTTTCACTGATAAGAAAGAAAAAGTTGTTTTTTCTTGTGTTTTGAACTTGGGTAGATACTTTGGTTTCACTTCTTGAAGAAAAATTATGTGATGGGCAAGTAATACACAGCTTGTCTCAGGTCCAGATGCCTCTAACTGTTCAATATATCCATTTGAGCTTATGTTTAGTACTACTCAGATATTGAAGGGAGTTGGGTAGTCTTGGACTTTTTGAAGAATCCCCAACTTCAGTTTGAAGTTTTACTTCTCATTCAGCTTAGCATTACCCAGGTCAGCTGCGAACACATCTCTCATTGTTCTGCTTTCACAGATCGGGAGAACCAGTCCATCCTGATCACGTACGTACACCCCCTGTGCGGGTCCCTGTGGGGCTGCCCGGTGCCAGGGCCCCTCCTGCCTGACCACGCACCCTCTGCTTCTCTCTTGGCTTTGGCAGCGGAGAATCCGGGGCCGGGAAGACTGTGAACACCAAGCGTGTCATCCAGTACTTTGCAACAATTGCAGCCAGTGGGGACAAGAAGAAGGAGGAGAAGTCATCAGGCAAAATGCAGGTGAGTCAAAATGCACAGGCAGAATGCTTGGCCTGCCATTGCCCTGTCAATCAAACACAGTCACTGAATACTGATGTCCCTGCAGGGAACGCTTGAGGATCAAATCATCAGCGCCAACCCACTGCTGGAGGCCTTTGGAAACGCCAAGACCGTGAGGAACGACAACTCCTCACGCTTTGTGAGTTCTTGCTTTGCATAAGATCTCCCCCCATCATGGCAGCACACATGATGCCTGAGCACTTCTTCCTGCAAAGGAGATGTCAGCAGAACACATCCAGGCTGACCTGCTGCTGCTTCTGCTTAACAGGGCAAATTCATCAGAATCCACTTTGGTGCCACAGGCAAACTGGCTTCTGCTGACATTGAAACGTGTAAGACATTCTCCTAGACTGTTCTCACCACTTCCCAAATTCCCACATCCAGGTACATTCTCACAAGGATCTAACTCTTTCTACCATCCTTGCCAGATCTGCTGGAGAAGTCCAGAGTCACTTTCCAGCTCAAGGCGGAAAGGAGCTACCACATCTTTTATCAGATCATGTCCAACAAGAAGCCAGAGCTAATTGGTAGGAGACATCCCTGAGCTTTTGAGAGGAAAATCTCTGAGCAACATTCAACTGTATTAAAAGATTAATTTAATTCAACCCATGAACACATTTGTTTTCAGAAATGCTCCTCATCACCACCAATCCATTTGACTTCCCTTTTGTGAGTCAAGGTGAGATCACTGTCCCCAGCATTGATGACAAGGAGGAGTTGATGGCAACAGATGTAAGTAATGTACAGAACAGGTCAACAGGCACAGATCATACATCAGATAACATGCAAATATTTCACTTTGCTCATTGTATTACCAGAGTGCCATTGACATCCTGGGTTTCACTGCTGATGAGAAAACAGCCATCTACAAGCTGACAGGGGCTGTCATGCACTATGGGAACCTTAAATTCAAGCAGAAACCAAGAGAGGAGCAAGCAGAGCCTGAAGGCACAGAAGGTATTATCAAACTCAATAATTAACCATCTGCAAGCCACTACATATGTGGAAGACAGCAAAAGTTGTTCATTGTTGGGCTTTATATCCCAACGAAAACTATCATCCAAGCAAAAACAGCTGTGCCCTGTCCTTAGTACATCAAATTCCCTGATTTCCGGATTTACATATCTTATGCTGTGAACAATTAATACTTTAAACTGGTCTTCATAGTCTTTTAAGAAGTAAGGAGTTATGCATGTTCCTTTAGTCATATCTTTGCTGGAATATGGCTTGTAATAGTGAAACAGCCCAGTGATTCAGTTCTAACATGATACGTGGTTCCCATAGAACATAGTTCCCAGAACATAGTTCCCATGCACCTCCACCTGTCAGATGCTCAGGGAAGTCAGCTGTGAGAGGTATTATTTCATTCCTTTACTTTGTTGGCACAGGGCCTACAAACCCTGTCTTCAGTTCTGTGAGCAATGTCTCCTCTTGTTAAAGGACAAGGCAGGTGGGGAACACCACTGGCAACAGGATGAAGCCAAATTTTACTGAATGTCAGAAATAAAAACTCAAAAAAGGCTGTAGGCTGTGGATCTGAAGGAGAACAGAGATATTGTCTCTGTGTTCCACTCTTAACTATTTTGTGGTTTTGATCACTTGAATGTAGATCAGTACCTGACTGTTGTCACCACAGCTCCTGAGCTGTGTGTGTACTGCACACACTCAGACTAGCAAGCTTCAGTTTTCAGTTTTGTGCAATAGGATTTTTGAAAACTTCATTACTTTCTGTGTGCTGCAGTGAAGAATTCCAAACAGATTTTTTTTTTAGAAAAGCTCAATTTGCATAATGGCAAGTGTGATGTTACAAAGATTTCCTCTATGAGAGTCTATCAAAAGTTTTCAAAGAACAGAAATTGGAACCCTTCAGCCTTTAGGGAATGCTCCAGGATTCAAAGCCTATTGGACATAAAATTCTTCCTTTTTCCTCTGGTTTTTTAGTTGCTGACAAGGCTGCCTACCTGATGGGTTTGAACTCAGCTGACATGCTCAAGGCTCTCTGTTACCCCCGAGTCAAGGTGGGGAATGAATACGTGACCAAGGGCCAAACAGCACAGCAGGTAAGAAACATGTTGTAACCTGTAACCATGTGTAGAACGAATATCCTCTTGATTCTCCTCTGCCTTGTATTGTAACTCCAGGTATTTTTGTTTTTCCTGTAGGTGCACAATGCAGTGGGTGCCCTGGCAAAGGCGCTTTATGAGAGAATGTTCCTGTGGATGGTTGTTCGCATCAACGAGCAGCTGGACACGAAGCAGCCCAGGCAGTACTTCATTGGTGTCCTGGACATTGCTGGCTTCGAGATCTTTGATGTAAGTAAGATTTGGTAAGACCTATTTGGAAATGATAACCAAATGTTATGATCAATTTGAGAGACATTTTTAAAGAGAACATAATATTATCACTTGATTATTGATATTTGTCTTTTTTAAGTAAAAAAAGGACCCTTCAAAGGACTTGTGCTATTTCAGGATGTGCAAAATCAAAGGTACAAAACTGTCCAATCAAAAAAGTTCATTGTTTATATGATCAGGCCCAAGACAGTATAAAAACATGTGATCATGATATGCCTAAGCTTGGGGTTTTTCTCCCTGTAACTTGGTCTCATTTTAAACAGGATGTATAATTTATCTTAAAATTTTTTCAATGAAAAAAATTTCCTTGTGGACAGTTAATTTGATCTTTTTCTCTTTTTCATAATGCCATAAAACAGACATGAAGAAATGCATGGGAAGTCAAGTAAACTGCATTCCTTATTTTTAAAAGATGAGGTCTTGCAATTATTACTGCATCTTCAAATATGCATCTTTCTTTTTTTATTTTCAGTTCAACAGCTTTGAGCAGTTGTGCATCAACTTCACCAATGAGAAACTGCAACAGTTCTTCAACCACCACATGTTTGTGCTGGAGCAAGAGGAGTACAAGAAGGAGGGGATTGAATGGACATTCATTGATTTTGGGATGGACCTGGCTGCCTGCATTGAGCTCATTGAGAAGGTATTCTTCCTGTTCAAATCAGTTACATGCATGTAATCTCTGTAATCAATTGATCTCATTTTCCAAAGGGATCTTCTATGTTCATATTTCCCTTGTGCTGAGTAGCCAAGAGCTGGAACAGCACTCCAGAGGTTTCTTCTCAGAGCTGAGTAAAGGGGAAGGATTAACTCCCTTGAGCTGTTAACAGCACAGTGTAGCCAAGGATGAGTTGGTGGCTTTGCAGCAACGGCTCATGTTCAGCATTTCCTGTGTGTGCTCTGAGTTCCACTGAATATGAAGGTAGTGCTCTGATTTTACAGAGTACATTGTCAACACAAACAAAATTAATTTCTATTTCTTTTATGAGTAATTTTGTGTTCAAAAATGAAAGTATCAGTGTGATCAATCCCACTTTCTAGAATAAAATGGAATCAAATAATAATATCTTCTGATGTGTATCTCAGTCTATGTTCCATTACTGTGCCTAGGTGAAGATCATTATTGCCTTGAAAGATAAATTACAATTGGTTTCTTCTTGTGATTTCTCCCAGCCCATGGGCATCTTCTCCATCCTGGAAGAGGAGTGCATGTTCCCCAAGGCAACTGACACCTCTTTCAAGAACAAGCTCTATGACCAGCACCTGGGCAAGTCCAGCAACTTCCAGAAGCCAAAACCTGCCAAAGGCAAGGTTGAGGCCCACTTCTCCCTGGTGCACTACGCTGGCACAGTGGACTACAACATCACTGGGTGGCTGGAGAAGAACAAGGACCCTCTGAATGAAACTGTCATTGGGCTGTACCAGAAATCATCTGTGAAGACCCTGGCTTTACTCTTTGCCAACTATGGTGGAGCAGATGCAGGTTGGTTCTTTGAATTCCATGTTTTCACTGATGTACAGCTTGCAAAAAGGAACTAAAAAAGGAAAAAAAAAAAATCTAAAATCTGTTTTATTTTCAATTTAGCCGAGGCGAGTGCTGGTGGTGGCAAGAAGGGAGCCAAGAAGAAGGGTTCTTCCTTCCAGACTGTCTCAGCTCTTTTCCGGGTACAGTAGAGACTTCACTATTTCTTCCTAAATGAGGTGTAAAGCCACTAATTACTATGGCTAGTCTTGTTTTGGCTTTGATCTGTTAAAAGATTCTGAAGTTCTTGGGCCACATTATGCTAGGAATAAATCCAGGTAATCTATTCATACTTCATTTCAATAAACACACAGTTTTTCCATTTGTTTAAGGCTAGGATTCATCTCACTATACCCTGCAAGATAACTGTGTAATCTAGACATTTAGATCTGCTTGTTGGCTTTTCCCTTTTGTTTTCAGCAGGGAAAACACAAAGGTTCTATGTAGTCTGCTCCATATGACCCAGCCTAAATGCCTACTGCAGAATGCTTTACACAACTTTATAGGGGTACTGCTTTATCTCTCTGGGTACATCCAATGGAAGATGGATATCCTTTCAAATGAAGGCATTCCACTAGAGTCAGTGAAATGTATTAAAAGTATATATATTTAAGAGTACAGTCTTTCCTAAATGTTGCTCAGATTACTAAGATAATTATCACAAAGATCTGTGGAAAGTCAGAAAAACTGGTGCAGAGAGCTTGAGTTCAGGGTTCTGCTAGTTTTTGTATAGTATCTCATTTCAGAGGACTTGATACCTACAGCAGAAATAAAATTTGCTAATATCAGCTTTTCTTAATGACTCTCCCAGGAGAATTTAAACAAGCTGATGACCAACCTGAGAAGCACCCACCCCCATTTTGTACGGTGCATCATTCCAAATGAAACTAAAACACCTGGTAAGAGACTTACATGTATATTGAAGGTTTTCAGTGTGGTGCAGCTCTTCCCCACTGTATTACAGAACATGGCATGTATTTCTGCTCTGCATTGCCAGGTGCCATGGAGCACGAGCTGGTGCTGCATCAGCTGCGCTGTAACGGCGTGCTGGAAGGGATCAGGATTTGCAGGAAAGGATTTCCCAACAGAGTCCTGTATGCAGATTTTAAACAGAGGTTAGACTTCATCCTCTTACTGGATCACCTTGTCCATCTTAAATAGCTTTTGAAATCTGAACTTCCCCTCCTGAGCCTAAAGCCTTCTCTAAAGTTTCAGTTTAACAAGTGCTGTTTGTTCTCAACAGTTCTTAAGACTCTTTCTTGCTATGTATGCACTAGCTGGTCTCAACAACAGACTTCTTCATGTTCATAGAATCAGTTAGGCTGGAAAAGACCCTTAACATTCTGCAGTTCAAAGCAAGTCCTTCCATTTTCTTCCTCAGATACAAAGTATTAAATGCCAGTGCTATCCCAGAGGGACAGTTCATTGACAGCAAGAAGGCTTGTGAGAAACTTCTTGGATCAATTGATATAGACCATACTCAATACAAATTTGGTCACACTAAGGTAAAAGATCTGTTTGCTTCAAGTGCTACATGGTTTTGGTTTGCATGGCTCGATACTGACACTCAGATACTCCAGATAGCACATGAAATGATCCAATAGGGTATAAGAAAGAGTGTAAAATAAATCAACCAGATTATTTATTACTCACCACTTGAATAAATTGAAATTCATGGTCATAGAATGATTTAATTAAGGGTTAATCAAGTTCCTAATTTAAGACCAAGTTTTAGAATAAAATAATCAAGTGTGAATAAAAATAAAAGAAAAATGTCTGGCTGTTGAAGTTCCTCAACTGCAAGTAAACAGAAGTTTGGAATTTTTTATAAAAGAGTGTGTGTCACTACCTATATTCTTTGTGGTTTTGCTATTAACTTCCTTAGTGTATGTCATGGGGTATCAGGTTATGTTAAACAAGTACAGATACTGCAACTGTTTCCTTATTCTTACCTAAGGTGTTCTTCAAAGCTGGGCTGGTGGGCCTTTTGGAAGAGATGAGGGATGAGAAGCTGGCACAGCTCATCACCCGCACCCAGGCCAGGTGCAGGGGCTACCTGATGAGGGTGGAGTACCAGAAAATGGTGGAGAGAAGGTAAAATTTCTTCAAATCAGGTTCACTCTACTTGGCTTATTGCGTCATTATGGTGTAAATATTGAATATTACTTCAACTTATCTTTCAGGGAGTCCATCTTCTGCATCCAGTACAACATTCGTGCATTCATGAATGTCAAACACTGGCCATGGATGAAGCTGTTCTTCAAGATCAAGCCCTTGCTGAAGAGTGCAGAGTCTGAGAAGGAGATGGCAAACATGAAACAGGAGTTTGAGAAAACCAAGGAGGAGCTTGCAAAGTCTGAGGCAAAGCGGAAGGAACTTGAGGAGAAAATGGTGAAACTGGTGCAGGAGAAAAATGACCTGCAGCTCCAGGTTCAATCTGTGAGTACCACCAGTAGGCATTATCCTCATTATACTGTGACTACAGGTTGCTATTTACAAGTACGTTTTCAAACCACATAGAATCTTTGATTTAGTTCAGGTGAATTGTAATTCTTTAAGTGGTGCTCTCAAAGGTATAACTTGCTTCTATAAGGACTGTGAGAAATCTGTAGTCAAAATACTACTTGGATGACACTTTTCCACAGTGTACACTGAGATATCCTTCTGATCATGAACTTTGATCCAATGTTTGATATTACAAGATAATATTGGATTATATACCCTGCACAAATACATAAATACTACTTTATGTATATACTCAATCTCCTTTTCAAGTAGATTAAAAAGGAGTTTACTTGGTTTTAGCTTTTAAATCTGGCTGTTTCAAAGTCAATAATATAAAATCAATTCAATATTATATGTCATTCTGTTGGAAGATGAATCAAATTTTAAACTAGAAAACTGCTATCCAAGGCACTGCAATATGAAGATTAATTATCTCAGTATTCCCTGAAAAAGCATATCCCTAAAAATGGCATCTCCCTACCAGGAAGCTGATGCTTTGGCTGATGCTGAGGAAAGGTGTGACCAGCTCATCAAAACCAAAATCCAGCTGGAAGCCAAAGTCAAGGAGGTGACTGAAAGGGCTGAGGATGAAGAGGAAATTAATGCTGAGCTGACAGCCAAGAAGAGGAAGCTGGAGGATGAATGTTCAGAGCTGAAGAAAGATATTGATGACCTTGAGCTAACACTGGCCAAGGTGGAGAAGGAAAAACATGCCACTGAAAACAAGGTATGAGGTAGAGCCTGTTACTCACACTCTGGAAAGACTTGGTAGAAAGTTTGAAGCAATATTTTATGTCTGGGCTTGCTTCTTTTTCTGAAAGGTGAAAAACCTGACTGAGGAGATGGCAGCTTTGGACGAGACCATTGTGAAGCTGACAAAAGAGAAGAAAGCCCTCCAAGAGGCCCATCAGCAGACCCTGGATGACCTGCAGGCAGAGGAAGACAAAGTCAATACTCTGACCAAAGCCAAGATCAAGCTGGAACAGCAAGTGGATGATGTAAGCACACATAGAGCAGGAACAGGACAGGTATGGAGCCTGACCTGGCTGGCAGAGCCCTGATGGTCTTGTTGTGTTTAGCTGGAAGGGTCCCTGGAGCAAGAGAAGAAACTGCGCATGGACCTGGAGAGAGCTAAGAGGAAACTGGAAGGAGACCTGAAGCTGGCCCAGGACAGCATCATGGATTTGGAGAATGATAAGCAGCAGCTGGATGAGAAACTGAAGAAGTAAGTGTGGCTCTGGGGCACTGAGCGCTGGGCTGCAGCACTTGTCTCTTTGCTTTGAGCTCTAACACGGTTCACTTGGCCCAAAGGAAAGACTTTGAAATCAGCCAGATCCAGAGCAAGATCGAGGATGAGCAACTTCTAGGCATACAATTTCAGAAGAAGATCAAGGAGCTGCAGGCAAGTCTGTGTTCCTTTCCCTGCCTTGCTCAGGCTCAGCTCAGGCAGGAGGAGGGCATGGGTGTGAAGGGTCCCTGGTGTTCTGCAGGCCCGTATTGAGGAGCTGGAGGAGGAAATTGAGGCAGAGCGAACCTCTCGCGCTAAAGCAGAGAAGCATCGCGCTGACCTGTCCAGGGAGCTGGAGGAGATCAGCGAGCGCCTGGAAGAAGCAGGAGGGGCCACGGCAGCTCAGATTGAGATGAACAAGAAGCGAGAGGCAGAATTCCAGAAGATGCGCCGTGACCTGGAAGAGGCCACGCTGCAGCACGAAGCCACGGCTGCCGCCCTGCGCAAGAAGCACGCGGACAGCACAGCTGAGCTGGGCGAGCAGATCGACAACCTGCAACGCGTGAAGCAGAAGCTGGAGAAGGAGAAGAGTGAGATGAAGATGGAGATTGATGACTTGGCCAGTAACATAGAATCTGTGTCTAAAGCCAAGGTACACAATTATTTTTATTAGGAATTTGATAGCAATATGGTATTTTTTCTTCAATCTTATATGATTTAATTTTTATCAGATTGTATTATACATGATTTCTCCAAATCTCATGTGTAAAATTGTAGGCACATGTGTAGTCCCAAGATGTCAACTGCATCTTCAGGACATATTTTACTGCTAAAAGAAGGCAGGATCAAGGCATTTACTAATTTTTTTTAATGTGCAATTGATATCTAGGCAAATCTGGAGAAAATGTGCCGCACTCTGGAAGATCAGCTGAGTGAATATAAAACAAAGGAGGAGCAGAATCAGCGCATGATTAGCGATCTTAGTGCTCAAAGAGCTCGTCTGCAGACAGAATCTGGTACGACCTTGCCATCTGTAATTTGGAAATGAGAGAAATCTATAAATTGCTCTCATGGCTATTAAAATGTTGTATCAATTATAAACTTTTTCAGGTGAATTTGGACGCCAGGTGGAAGAAAAAGATGCTTTAATTTCTCAGCTGTCTAGAGGGAAACAGGCTTTCACCCAGCAGATTGAAGAACTGAAGCGGCAGCTAGAAGAAGAGATAAAGGTGAAGATACTCATGTTACATATGAAATAAATATTTGACATAATATTGGTTTTTGTGAAGTCTTCAAGGCTTCAAAAGGTGATCCAATTAAAAGTTCAAACCATACTCTAGACTCTTGCAGTGCAGGACTTCCATGTTTTTATGAGGCAGTCAGTAAACCACTATCAACTTTAGGATGTGTATCAGTGTATATGTTCCAGTAACAAAAACTTCCCAGGAGACATGTACTACTTATTGCCATATTTTTGCCACCAGGCCAAGAACGCCCTGGCCCACGCCCTGCAGTCCGCTCGCCACGACTGTGACTTGCTCCGGGAACAATATGAGGAGGAGCAGGAGGCCAAGGGGGAGCTGCAGCGAGCCCTGTCCAAGGCCAACAGCGAAGTGGCCCAGTGGAGAACCAAATACGAGACGGACGCGATTCAGCGCACCGAGGAGCTCGAGGAGGCCAAGTACGTGGGGAAGCAGAAGGCAAATGACTGGAGAAAATGGAGGATGGTCCACAGAAATTAGAATCTCTCAGAGTGGGCTAAGAGAAGAATGGGATGAAGGCAAGGATACAGATTTGTAAAAAAGGAGAGAGAGGAAGGCAGAGAAAAAGTGTAGATAAGAAGGGAAAATATAGGCTTTAGGACTAGAAGTGCTAAGAGAGGCCTAATAGGTGATAGGACACAGCAAAGTATAAATCTTTATATAGCTGTGAAAAGTGCTCAGTTCAAAACCCATAAAGTGATCAACTACCCTCTCATGACAGAATAGAACTGACGCCATTCCAAGCTCTAAAGTGCAACTGTCCTTGTCTCCTCCCAGGAAGAAACTGGCCCAGCGCCTGCAGGATGCAGAGGAACATGTTGAGGCTGTCAATGCCAAATGTGCCTCCCTGGAAAAGACAAAGCAGAGGCTGCAGAATGAAGTGGAGGACCTGATGATTGACGTGGAGAGATCCAATGCTGCCTGTGCTGCTCTGGATAAGAAGCAGAAGAACTTTGACAAGGTCTTTTGGCCTCCAGCACCAGCACTCCTGGCCAGAGCATGGCCCCGTGATGGCCACAGCCCTACTCACACCCCGTTTCTCTTCAGATCCTGGCAGAATGGAAGCAGAAGTATGAGGAAACACAGGCTGAGCTGGAGGCCTCACAGAAGGAGTCGCGCTCTCTCAGCACGGAGCTCTTCAAGATGAAGAATGCCTATGAGGAGTCCTTGGACCACCTGGAAACAATGAAGCGGGAGAACAAGAACTTGCAGCGTAAGTCCCTCTGCTCCTCCCTGGCCTTTCTCACTATCAGCCATCACCTCCATTCTTCATGGGTTTGTGCCCGCAGGTCTGCAGAGATGCCTGTCACCTTGGTGGGACAGGGTCCTTCCCATTCTGCTCAGTGCCTGACCATGCCACTGATCTTTGTTCCCACAGAGGAGATTTCCGACCTCACGGAGCAGATCGCCGAGCAAGGAAAAGCAATTCATGAGCTGGAGAAAGTCAAGAAACAGATAGAGCAGGAAAAATCTGAAATTCAGGCTGCTCTGGAGGAAGCTGAGGTACATGACCAGTGGTGTCTGCAATACAGATATGAGGAAATAGGGCTGAAAAGGCCTGGGTTGTCCTCTCTTCTGGCTGGGGTGTGCAGACGGCAGAGATATCACAAAATATTTTGCAATTTTTTAAAAGGAAGCAGTAGGTTTATTGGTGTTATCAATGTTTATGTCCACTTTTCCAGGCCTCCCTGGAACATGAGGAGGGGAAGATCCTGCGCCTGCAGCTTGAGCTCAACCAGGTGAAGGCTGAGATTGACAGGAAGATAGCAGAGAAGGATGAGGAGATTGACCAGATGAAGAGAAACCACCTGCGAGTCGTGGAGTCCTTGCAGAGCAGCTTGGATGCTGAGATCAGGAGCAGGAATGAAGCCCTGAGGCTGAAGAAGAAGATGGAGGGAGACCTGAATGAAATGGAGATCCAGCTGAGCCATGCCAACCGTGTGGCTGCAGAGGCACAAAAGAACCTGAGAAATACACAGGGAGTGCTCAAGGTCTGCTCAGCAAAGCAACAGAAAAGAGAAAAATGAGATCACTGACATTTTTGTCACTCAAGTGCACACTTACTCTTTGCAATTTCTTTTCTCTTTCTTTGCAGGACACGCAGATCCATCTGGATGATGCTCTCAGGACACAGGATGACCTGAAGGAGCAGGTGGCCATGGTGGAGCGCAGAGCAAACCTGCTGCAGGCTGAAATTGAGGAGCTCCGGGCAGCCCTGGAGCAGACAGAACGGTCAAGGAAATTGGCTGAGCAGGAGCTTCTGGATGCTACTGAACGTGTGCAGCTCCTCCACACTCAGGTCAGGGCAGGGAGCAAGGAGCTCTGTTGACACTGACCAAACACAGAGGGCTGGAATTTACCAGAGAACCAGCAGCACTAGAAAGGTCTCTCTGATGCTGTCCCCAAGGAAAGGCGTGCTTTGCATCCATTCCCCAAGCCCACACCTGACATTTTGCAAACAACCATTGTAAAAATTTTCCTGTGTAACAACTGGAAGATGGAAGGGGAAAGTCTTTGTTCAGGCAGAGGCTTCTTATGGCAGTTTTAGAATTCATCTCTTGCCATGTCCTTCCCATTGCACAGAACACCAGCCTGATCAACACTAAGAAGAAGCTGGAAACAGACATTGCCCAGATCCAGGGTGAAATGGAGGATACCATCCAGGAAGCCCGCAATGCTGAGGAGAAGGCCAAGAAGGCCATCACTGATGTGAGTTGGGCACTCCTGGCATTGCTGAGGATGAATGTACTCTTCCCAAAATATCTCCAGTCCTAAAATGGCTTTGACATTTTGCTCTGATCAGGCGGCCATGATGGCAGAAGAGCTGAAGAAGGAGCAGGACACCAGTGCCCACCTGGAGAGGATGAAGAAGAACCTGGACCAGACGGTGAAGGACCTGCAGCTTCGTCTGGATGAGGCCGAGCAGTTGGCACTGAAGGGAGGGAAGAAGCAGATCCAGAAGCTGGAGGCCAGGGTGTGTAGGGCTGAGGCTGTCCCTGAGTGAGCGTGTCCTTGGAGAGACATTGCCAGGGAAGCTGCAGGGATGGCCTTGTCCTTGCAGGTGCGGGAGCTGGAAGGGGAGGTTGATGCTGAGCAGAAGCGCAGCGCTGAAGCCGTGAAGGGCGTGCGCAAGTACGAGCGGAGGGTGAAGGAACTCACCTACCAGGTAAGGCAGGAATCCTCCTGCTCTCACAGGGCTTTCTCACAGTGAGTCACATTTGGCACACACCATCATCAAGGGAATTGTTAACCTCATGTGATGCAGAACCAAGAACTGACTCTCTTTCCTGTTTGTCAAACACTCTAGTCTGAGGAAGACAGGAAGAATATTCTCAGGCTGCAGGATCTGGTGGACAAGCTGCAAATGAAAGTGAAATCCTACAAGAGACAATCTGAGGAGGCCGTAAGTATTTCTCTGAGTGCTTGGTAAGAACCCCTTTCCCAGAGGGTAGTTTGGCCACTGAGGAGACAGATATAAGAAATTTAGAAGATGCCAAGGGAGATGCTCACCAATATCAAATTCTTTCAAATGCTCTGAAAGCCTCATAAAGTAGACTCGCCTTTAGAAGGAAAACAATGAGCCCATAAGAAGATCACTGAGGAGGCAAATTCACATAGCATTTTTTGCATTAGAACCACAAAGCAACCTGTAAGGACTTTTATGAATGATATCGGCAGTACAATATATAAAGAAATTTTGGAAATACCTTATTTTTAGAATTTTGGTAGCAGACAGGGAAGGTGTTGGTAGTCCCACCCCAAAGCAATTTGCATTCCACTTTTAGAATAGTGCAGGGAACCTTTGCTTGTTTCTGGGCATGCAGCCGTCAGGGATGAACTGAGGGTCCTACAGCCCCTGGATTTATGATTGTCTGAGCTTGGCTTCTTCATTGTGGAAACAGTCCAGCACAGAGTAGGGCTTCTGGTTCAGTCAAGGGGATATGTGAGAATGACTCCAAGATCTCATCAATCTCACTGTGAGACTTTGTACAAGCAGTGGTGGGTGGAGTTTGGAGGTTTGTGACTTTTCCCTGGCCAAGGCCGAGGAGGAATGAAAACCCCAAACTTCTCACCACTGACTCCTTCTCCCTCCCAGGAGCAGCTGTCCAATGTCAACCTCTCCAAGTTCCGCAAGATCCAGCACGAGCTGGAGGAAGCCGAGGAGCGGGCTGACATTGCAGAGTCACAGGTCAACAAGCTCCGAGCCAAGAGCCGGGAGTTCCATAGGAAGATAGAAGAGGAAGAGTGAGAATGTCACAAGGCACAAAAGTGACCTGAGGGCTGCACAAAATGTGAACCTCTTGGTCACTTTCCTTCTGCCATGAGCCTTTGTACCCACCTCAGTGTCTAGTGAATAAAGACTAGTAGATTCCTTTGCATACACACTATGGCCAGTGGTTTTGTTCTTCTCGGGGTTTTGTTCTCCTCTAGAAATTGCATTGCAGAAGAAGTTTCCTTACTTTTTCTCTCTGGGACAAGGGAAAAGCTGGTGCCAGTGCTGGACTGAGGATCTGCAAACTCAGAGGCTGTCCATTGCTGTGGAGACTCCTGAAAATCCAGCCTGTGCTCTCTCCTGTCTCCAACAGCTCTTTGTCCAGCTCCTGCCTTCACATCCTCCTAATGCTTCTCCCATTGTCCTTTCAGCACAGCCTTTTTCCCATGGGAGAGTCAAGAGGGGGTTCTTTTGCTTTTTCCTTTTCCTACTCTCGCTTGTGATGCTGGTTCTCACAAACCTGAAACACCATTTTGGGTTCTGTTTGTCAACAGTCTCAACACTGAAGGTAGGTTGAAATTGACCACTCTGCTATTTGTTACACTCATAACAGCAATATCCCAAGGGCTCTCACCTTACCTGGCTCACAATGCAGCCTCACCAGCACACCAGCTTTTGCTGGAAGGTCAGCCTGATTCCAGTGTCACTGACAAGCAGTGATGAGCAGAATCTGTTGGAGTTGTCTGTGGAGAGAAATGGGAGATGCTTCTTTAGGAGAAGACCTCAGCTTTCGATCCCAGACCTTCAGAAAGACACCCAAGGCCTTGCAGAGATGCCAGACTTGTACTTCCTTCTCAAGATACTGCATAACTTTTCCCAAAGGCTCCTTAGCAGACTCCTAACCTTGTTCTTCCCTCCTCATTCCCTGCAGTCTTTCTCTTTGCCTCACCGTGTGCATTGTTCTGTCACTACAGACGGGCCTCATGGCATGAACCTTTGCCTGCCCAAGCCCACCTAGAAGCCAGCTGCTCCTCTTGGGAGCAGTCCCACCTGGGGATATCTCCAAAGCTTCAGGTGGGTCTGGGTAGAGTCCAGATGGCACAAAAAATCTGTGAGTATCTCTGTTGGCTGTAATGGCTGGTACAAGCACTAACTTCAGGGACTCAGGGATGGGTCCGCACCCTCAGGCAGGACCTGCCCTGAGCACAGCTGGGCACTGAGGGCTGGCCCTGCCCCCACAGCAAACTCACAGCTCCCTCTGCCCTCTCCTGTGCTCCAAGGCCACACCAAACTGCCCCTCAGCCTCCATAAGAGCCATGGCTGAAGGAGGGGACAAGGCTGAAAGGAGCTTTGGAGGAGGCCCATGGCAGGAGGATCAGCCCCTCACGTGTCTCCTTTCATGCTCAATGTCAAAAGCCCAAAATAGCCCCACTCTCCTAAGACTCCTGTGCGGGGTCGTGCCTGTTTGTGGGGATGATCTGCTTCCACTAATAGCCCCTGAAGACATTCCTGGGCGGGTAGGCTGCCTTCTGTGTGGCAGGGCAACGTGCTGCCCTGGAGGAGCTGGACACGTGTGCTGTAGCCCAAGGCAGCAGCTGCTATTCTTACCCCAGAGAGACTCACTGCAGCCCAGCTCCACTGCCAGCTGAAAGGTTAAACGTCAGAATGGGGCCCGAGTGTGCTCTCCCTGCTCAGAGCCTGAATCCAGAGTGTTCCCCTTTGGAGCCCATGCAACAACCCTGTGCCAGCCCAGTGCCATGGCCATTCCCTGCTGGGATGTGCTGTCCTGTGGGCAACACAGCAGCTGCCCAGGTACTTCCAGCAGTCAGTCAGGGCTCCCTGGGGTGTGTGGGGCTCTCTCATTTTAACCAGCAAATGGAAAAGAGAGGAAGGGGTGCAGCTCTGAAAGTGCAGCTGCCATTCTGGAGTCTCTGTCTGGTGAGGATGAAGGCAGAGGCAGGGTTTGTTCTGAGGTCCAGCAGTGCTGCAGGGGCCATCCATGTCCCTTTGCTCAGGCTGTGCTTTCCCATCCCTCGTTTAGGGAAGGCTCCAGGGCTGTACAGCAGAGGTCCCTCAGGAGCCCCAGGAGAGTCAGTGCTGCAGGAGAAGCCGTGACGGGGCTGGTGGCTCTGACACGATGGTTATGGAGACTCAGCCCTGCCTGCACCTTGACTCCCCCGGCCCTCTGGAGAGCTCAGGAAAGCCGTGTCCCAGCCAGGTACAGTCACTATGGGGCCTCAGGCAAAGGACACTGAGCCCAGGACATCAGTGGGATGGTGGCTGTGCCTTCCCCCTCAGGCCTTGGCTGTTGCTCTGACAGCACAGGTGGCACCAGCTTTCTCCTCAGCTTGGGCCTTGTCACCTGAGACCAAGTTCCTTTAGGATCCTTGGCAGGAAGCCGACAGCATTAATCCTGGTGAGGGGAGCTGGGGGTGCCGCTCCACGGCCCCATCAGGCTCCTGTCAGTCACAGGGAGCTCCCGGGGCAGCAGCTGAGCCGGCCCTCTGCTCCAGGCCCCAGGGCCAGGGGATGGCAGCCTGGAGCCATCCAGGGCACCTGCTCTGGGCCCTGCTCCTCTGCACACCAGCAAGGTGATCTCCCTTCTGTGGGCTGGCCTTGGTCAGTAGAGGATCACAGTAACATGACCTATGCTCAGGGAACACTTTATGAGTTCAAAAATTGCTTTGGAAATTCGTCAGTTAAAATTCCTCCATGAGCTGTTAAGTACTTAGACACTGCATTCTGCTCAGGGATTTCATAAGTACAAATTATTGGAAGTAGGAGAGCTGTGTCGAAGTGCTATACTATGCTGATGATCCTTCCTGAGCATCACTTTCAAAGACAGGAAATTGGGCTACACGAACCTTTGATCTTGCAAGGACATCTTATTTTGGGTTATGATAGAGTTTCCTGCAGCGGTTAATACCATGCTCCTTCAATATTTCCTTTTCCTTCCCCTTCCTTCCTGCTCTCATAGTTACTTGCTGCTTCAATTACCTCTTCCTATCTGCCAGGTTGCCCACCCCACTCACCTGCTCTGTAATAAGAGCTCCTCAGCTGCTTGGCAGGGGATAGAAAGGGCATCCCAAGCGTCACCTCCTTGGATGGGATCTACTGCCCAGTCCTCTTCCATTGATGTGTCTGTGGAGACAGAAGGAGTGTGAATTGAGGCACATTAGTGGCGTGCTCTTGAAACTACCCATCCTCTAATCCCAGATTATGGATTTACTTGCCTCTCATGTTCAGTTATTCAGTTTATTTGCCTCTCATGTTCAGCTTAAACTCACTCCAAGACTTCCAAGAATACCTCTCTGTGGGAACCTACTTGGAAACAAATTTATAATTAAAGTTCCTCCTAGGACAGGTGCATTCACTTTAGTTGACATATAGTGGAGATCAATCACATTAAGATCTACAGAAATTAATTTCTGACCAGATCAGAAGGGACAGCAAGGCCACCACAGCCCCTCCATGGCCAGTCTGTGACACTCACCTTATCTTCACAGGTTCTCACACTTAGACACAGAAATTATGAAAATTTCTTCACACTTGCCATGGTAAAGAATGGGTGGCCTATTCTACTGCACTTTTTAGTTACATTATGGTCCTCAGTAGTTCTTCCTCGGAAATCATGTATTGCTTCTAGCAATTCCTTCAGCCTATTCCTTCAGCCACATATATTAGAAATAATAAATTAGTTCAATGGCAAATTTCCTAACCAGATGTCACATCAAAATTACAGACTTAGTATGTTCTGCTCATAACACTGAGCATGCTTCAACATTGAAAGCATGAACCTTGATGGAGCAACACTGAATTGAAAACCAACCTTTTAATATGGAAAATGTGCTCTTACCCTCTCCAGGCTCAGTGTCCAGTCATATCTGAGCAGAAGTACAGGGGTGAGCGGTGCTGCTGCAGAGCAGTGCTCTGACATTTCTGCTTGCCTTCTGCTAACATTCCTGGGAGCTCTCATTTTACACAGAGGCCAGCAGAAAAGCTGCTGCAGCAGGGGCTGAGCATTCCCTGTCAGACTGTCCATGACACGCTGCAGAGAAAACGGACTTCTCTTAGGCAGGCCCTACTTTAATGATAGCAGGGCAGACAGCAGCACTTGCAAGCCCAAAACCCTGCAAGGATTTAAGATCCCCCTTTTTTTTTTTTTTTTTTAGCAGTGGAGGAAAATAATGAGCAAGTAATTCAGACTCCTTCCTACACCGTTGTTCTTTCTAGAAGACTTGTAAGTATAGTTCTAAAGTACATGACTTTTGTATCTGCCACTGTCACTATCTCAGTCTCTGCTGTTTTGAGGAGATGGTGATGTGTTTTTTACCTCAAAAGTGCTATATGTTAATGCCCTAATTCTAGAATTCAAATGTTGCCATTTATTTTGGAGGCATAGTATCCCACTATGTATGACTTACGGAGTCTGTCAAGAAAAAAAACATTAGACCAGAAAGTGATATTCCAGCAGCTAGGTCTCACATTGCCATAAATGTTTTTTAACGTAGAATCAAGGCACTGAACAAAATACATTTTTTTTCCCCTCTCTTAGTAGACTATAAGGACACGGTACTAAATACTCATTTCCCAATAGAAGTGAATTCAGGCAATCTATACTGAAATTATATCCTTTTTTTGAACAATTCCTGCAAATCCTAGCTGACAACTAAGGGGAGGACTTGGCAATGACTGCCATTCAGTATTCTTGAGGTTATGCCAAACAGTTTAGCAGACACAGGGAAAATAAAAGAGATGAAGGTGGTGTGTCAAGTATCCTAACATGACTGCAGAAATAAAAGCAGGAAAAGAAATCAGAACAATTGCTCCTCCTGCTGCCCTGTACTCTCCACAATGTGATGGTGTCATGAAATCTCCATTTGGGTTGGAAAAGACCTCTAAAATCAT